CCTCAGAGACAGCTGGGGCTTCAAAATGTCACCACCTCACTCCGTTCCCTGCCTCGGGCCACTTTAGAGAACATGGTGGCTTCCCCAGCTTGAGGGCCTGATCCCCCACTTTAACAGGACTGAGACCCCGCCCCTTTCCCAGTTGGAGAGAAGCAGGCAGGTTGAAGGTCATCATTCTCTACCACGGCCCCCTTCCCCCATCCCAGGCAACTTATTCTGCCTATTTCTCTGGGTGACCCACCCCCCACCCAAGGCCCTCCAATAGCCATTTGGGGAAACGAATCCAAGCCCCCCACCCCAACATTTCACTGATGAGGACACTGGAGGCAGAAAACAGTGTGCAGACCAGCAGTCTGCCGCATCTGATGAAAACCCCACTTCCTACCTCAGAACTGGGGCTCAACCGCCTGCTATCTCTGAGTGGGGAACCCAGTGCTTGCTGTGGCCAGGCCCCCTGGCCACACAAAGCACCAGCTTCTGCCCCTGCCACCCAACCAGAGGAGAGTACCGAGACCAGGCGCTCAGAGGCCAGGCAGGTTAAAGTGTTCTCGGTTACCTTTCAGCTCCCAGTGGCCCAGGATTTATTTCGTACAGACACAGAAAAACATCCTTGCATACTAAAAAAGGAATTTGTTCCATGAATGCCTCCCTTCTTTCAACAAAATGGGGGGGAAAAAGCCCTAGACACCGTTGGCTCATGCCTGTAATCCCAGCTACTCAGGAGGCTGCCATCTGAGGATTGAGATTCAAAGCCAGTCCAAGAGACTTTTATCTCCAATTAACCACCAAAAAGCCAAAAGTGGAGCTGTGGCTCAAGTGGTAGAGTGCTAGCCTTTAGCAAAAGCTCAAGGACAGGGCCCAGACCTAGAGTTCAACTCCCAAGCTGGACAAAAACAAAAAAGGACTCAGGAAATTGCCCCTTTCAACACCTCATGGGATGGGGAAGAAAAGTGCCAGCCTACAGCAAAAAAGCTAAACAAGAGCACAGGGTCCTAGGTTCAACACACACACACACACACACACACACACACACACACCACAACTCATGCCTGTAATCCTGGCTATTCATCAGGAGGCTGAGATCTGAGGATCACAATTCAAAGCCAGCCTCCAGCCTGGGCAGGCAAATCCAAAACACTCATATCCAATGAACCAGCAAAAAGCCAAGAGTGGAAGTGTAGCCAACATAGTAAACCACCAGCCTAGAGTGGGAAAAACAAAACAACCACAACAACAACAAACGCAATCAAGAATGCAAGGTTCTGAGTCCTAGTACTGCCTGTTCTCTCCCTCTGTAAAGTGGAAAGGGTTCATCTGCCCCATAGCCAGGGTCATCTAGAGAAGCCAATGCCCAGGAAACAAAGAAACACACACTGTGGGTGTCTACCATCAGCTGAACAAAAGGAGCCCACAGGGGTGGCTGAAAGGGGGGGCAGGTGGTCTTGAGAGGTGGTGGCCTCTCCCCAGGTGGACAGGACAGGATGGGCTCAGTAGTCCTGAGCTAGAGAAGGCTGGCACCCAGCGAAAGATCAGAGGAGGAGCGATCAGGTAGGCGGGCAGGCAGGAGTGCGAACCTCCATATATAAGTTGGGATCGGGCTTCTGGAGTCTTGCTAAAAAGAGCTCTGGGACTGGAAGGCCTTCTCTTCCCCCTTCCCATGCCTCAGTTTCCCTACTTGTGAGTTGAAAAGTGCAGATGAGAAGCCAAAGGGCTGATCAAGCTTCCAGACAGGGAAGGAAAGCAAGACTGCATGGTGAGCAGGTAAATGTGGGCACCTAGTGTGCATGGCACCCCCCCCCCAGATCCCCACACCTCAGCATGCTTTGCACACGTTGGTGCTTGCCAACAGAGAGTAAGGTCAGACTGGCAGACTCTTCCAGCAGCATCAGCACCAAGGCACTGCCCAGGTACCTCCATGGCTGGGTTTTTTTTTAAGCTGGTCTTGTTGTCTGGGCAGTTACCGTAGGAACAGGGCAGAAAATGACAGCAACAGGTCAGCCCTTTTGGCCCTACCCCAGCCCTCCCCGGCCTCCCTACCCCATGGCTGAAACACCCTGGCCTGAAAGGCCTAGCCTGGAAGAGACGGTGACCTCTGGAAGTTCCAGGCCAGGCCTGTGATTCTATAATCTCTGCTGTGCCATAATTAAGGAGGGAGGCAGAAGAGTAGAAGGAGAAACCACTTATTACTCCTCTGGGGTTTAACAGCTTAGGGGGGCGGGGGGAAAAAGGAGAGAGGGAGACAGAGAGACACAGACAGTTTAGTGTCAACTTCCAGCACAACTGGCCTGAGGCACCTTGGTTAATACTTGGGGGCTTGTCTGGTAGAATGGAGACTCCCAGCTAATCGTCATTTCCTATAAATCTGAGCTCAGGACCACCACACACTTCTCTAGTACAGGCTGTCCCGTCCCCCGCCCCCACCCTGTGCTCAGAGATGAAGCATCCAGCCTGTTTGTTCCAGGCAGATCTAATCACACCACACGAACAGTCAAGTCTAGAGGGCAGGACACTGCATGAATAATTCAAGCACTCGAGTCACTTGATTGTGCCTGCAGATAAAACACCAAGTCAACCGCTAAACAGGTCAGCTGATAAAACTTGTTTGCTCAGGCCTAACCACCCTCTCCCCCCCCCCAGATGCACTCAGGGCCCACACTACAATTAGTGGTGGGGTTTTCTGCCTGCAGAACCTCACACACCTAGGGAGTGGCCAAAGCCATTAGGTCAGGCTTCCTCCACCCCCACTCCTCTCCCTACCACAGGCTCTTCTCACCCAGCCCCGGAACACTCAAGTGGGCCAGGAAGGGACTGGAGGAAAAAGGTGAGGCTGCTTTCAGGAGGCTGGGGCTGGAATCTGAGTCCAGGCTCAGCTTCCCTGGTGCCTCAGTTTCTCTGCCAGTCAAAAGAAGACCTGGAATCCCTCCCCAATCACTTGGAGGCTGAAGAGGATGGAGTCCAAAGTGGCCAAACCCAGGCATGCTCCTCCTAAGAGGATGTTCTGGAGAATGGCCACAAATCCCAGACGCACACAGCTGCTCCGTTTCTGGGTACACAAACTACCCTGCCAACCGTGCTAGGACGTTTAACCCTTCTGAGAGCGCGGAACATAGGCCAGCCGGCTGAGGTAGCTTCCTCCTGCGGCCAAGAGCGATCCACACCCCCAGACTTGAAGGACCCCGCCCACACAGACCTCAACATGCAAAGACATATTACACCTTCATTACAAAGCTCTTAGAATAACTGCTGCTATAAATTTTAAACCTGGGTGCAATTATCCTCTCTAAACACACCCAAGATACTAAGCAGGGGCAGGGAGAGGAGGAAGTGGCAACCTTGCGTAACACCCCAAGGTTCCTAAAACACGTGGGACACCCCCCCCTCAGGTTTCATCACCCATATTTCTCCCTGTGGCTAGTCAAACCTGGTCAGTTCTGTCCAGCATGAGGTCAAAACTACCTCCATCTAATATTCTCCCAGGAGAAACTTTACATCCAAAGCAATATCTATTTATTATTCCTGGGGACAGGAGCAGCAGAACCATGGCCGCCCTCCTGTGCCTTCCTAGAGAACTAATCAGCCGGAAAGTCACAAGCTGGCTTCCCAATAAACTCAAGCCCCTTTCTGGCTATCCTTCACCCAACAGCCAATGGCCAAGGCGCCCCCACCCCCCCATCCCAGAGGAACACAAAAACTACAGATTCAAAAAGGCTCTGTCCAAAGTCACTGGAGCAAGCAGGAATCTGTTTCTCCTTCCCTGGGCAGAGGGGAAGGTGCGGCAGGGAGGGACACCTGCCCACCTCACCAGCCACAGGTCCCCTTCTCCCCCCCCCACTTTAAAAAGCAAAACTTAAACCTTGTAAATGACTTGTTAATTTAGAGCAGAAAATCCATTCAAGTCACGGTCACCAAAGGCTAGAATGAGTCAACAGCCTTCTGAGATTTCAAGAACACCAATTGTTAAAAAGAACAGCCAGCCTGTGCCATTTATCCGTGCCAAGTCACCGCTAATCATGGCCAAGCCAAATTATAGGCAGCCTCTCCTCAGAACACAAATACACAAACAGGCCTCTCCCACAGCCTAGCCCGGCACTGGACTGGTTACTGATAGGCACCCAGATAAAGGGTGTTTGTATTTGCTCGGTTTGAGGTAGACTGTTATTACAAGAGTGACAATGGGAGGGAGTTTACATATCCATCAGAGCGCACCACACTAGCTAGCTAAACTGGTTTGACTTCAGGATTTCAAAGCTGAGCTCAATCCCAGCCAGCTCAGCCTCCAAGGCTTCCTTGGCTAAGCTGTCCCCAGGCCAGGCCAGGCCAGGCCAGGCCAGGGCAGGGAGCTTCAGCTTCCTTCTGTGAAATGGGGACACCACGACCTTCAATTAGGAAGAGATGAGAAAGCTGTCTCCTATGTACAAAGTGACACTGGCTAGCTACCCTCCACTCTGGCTTCTTATGTTATTAAGCCGTTAGTGACTTCATTCCCTTACATTTCGACAGCTCAGCCTGGCTTTTAAGTTCCTCCGAGTTTAATCTTATCAAGGCAGGACATCATATTTTTGCAGAGAGAGAGAGAGAGAGAGAGAAAAGCAGTGAGAGACAGGCAGAGACAGAAACACTGAGAGATTGAGAGGCAGAGACAGAGAGACACCAAGTCAAAGACAGGGAGAGAGACCCCTCCAGCATTTCCTCTTGAGAATTTTACATTAGCACAGATGAAAGCAGCCTGCCACTCTAGATTCTAGTTTGTAAAGCAGATCCTGAGGTACAACTTTCTCTTTTGATCTTTTATCTGCCACCAAGATCCAAGACCAGGACTGAACTCCACAAGCTCAAAACCTCCACAGTCCTAGCAACCAGCAAAATCTCAGCACCTGCGTGCTTCAAGGACTGGAACCATTTGGGCCCTCAAGCAGCAGAAGAAACAGAAGAATGGGGGGCAGGGGAGAAACATAGAGCATCCCCTGGGAAATGCATTCCTTAAAGAGAAAAGCACTTACCTGTTTGTGCATTTCAATATTCAAGCCGTAGGACATCTCATAATACTAAAAGCAAAAAAGAAGAGCCATAAACAAACACAGAAATCCACTCGGTTTTTCAAAATCTGTTGGGTTTTTTTTTTCTTTCTTTCTGGAGAAGTTTTTGGACCAATTATAGTTTTATGATATTGAAGTTTCAGGTCAACCCCCTGAGAGGTTTAAGGTTGAGTGAAATCTCAACCCCTTAGGGAGGAGAGGAAAAAGCTCAGGGCTTTCAGAAGGCCCTAGTACTGACTGGTCAGACACCCGGGGGGGAGGAGGATGCCTCATCCCTGCTGGCTAGATCCCAGGCAGAGAAAAGTTTCCCAACATTGTCCCAGGAGGTCCAGGAGCTCATCATTCCCTGCCTACAGGTCCTACCCACCACCCCAGCCACAGTAGAGCCGGCTGCTTCCCCACCCCCACCTCCTACCCCCAAATCTGCAAAACACAAATGACAGGCCTACGAGGTAGAGCAGAGAGGCCTTGGGCGGCCTGGATGCGGGTGCCGGGGATGGAGAAGGGAAGAGGGCTGAGGGTGCCCCACTGACCCAGCTACCCTGTGGCCAAGTCCCAAGGACCCCCACCCTGCCCATCCTGCCCTCCGGGCCTCCTCACCATCACATAATGGCGCTGCATCTCGGTCTTCTCGTTGGCCAGCTTGTCGTACTCCACTTTGAGGCTGTGAGGGCAAGAGGAGGCCCGCTCAGGCCTGGGGCCCGCACAGCAAGGGGCCCGTCCCCTCCCCAGGGGGACCTCGTTATCCCAAGACCAGGGGGGATTTTAAACAACTTCCCTCAGGCCGGGCTACAGGAGATGAGGCACCTCCACCTAGGATACTACGCTTCGCAGGGACTGGGGACACCCCCCGCCCCTCACCTGTGATACTGAGCTTGCAGGAACTGGAACTCGTCTTTGATCCGGTCACAAGACTCGGCCACCGTGAATTTAAATCCGGGCTGCCCGGGTTGATGGGGAGCCTGGAGCCCGGGGGGAGCAGACAGAGAGGGCCGGGATATTAGACGCACTCCCCGGCCCGAGCCCCCCGGAAATGCCACCCCGCAGCCCCGACCCCTTCCCGGCAAGTTTCTCCTACCCTCCACAGGTCCTCCCGACCCCCGTGACCCCGCCGCGGCCGGGGCTCCAGTTCCCAAGCCGGAGGGGGCGGGGAGGCTCGGGAGAGGGGGGCGCACCTCCCCTCCCACACCCCGCCGCAAAGGCCGCCCCAACCCCTCGGGCGCAACTACCCCGGCTCTCCACGGCGCCCCCCGAGCCGCCCCTTTGTGTGTGCGCGCGCACTGCGCACACGTATACACACGCACACGTATACACACGCACACGCGCGCGCGCGCCCAGGCACACAACCACGCACCCAAGTACATACACACACACACACGAGCACACACACCAACAACTACACGCACACGAACGCGCGGCGCCCGTACAGGCACCGAGCAGCCGGAGGAGCGGGGCCGCGGCGCACAGCCCGGCCGGGCTCACCCCACTGTGCGGTGCTTACCGGATGTCGGCCTTGCGGATACATGGCAGGGAGGGGTCGCGGTTCCGAGGGCGGGGAGGCGCCGGGAGCCCGCGCCGGGGAGGCGCGGGGGAGCGGGGAGCCGAGCCCGAGCGGGGGCCGGCCGGGGAACCGGGAGCTCGGCCCCGGCCCCCCCAGCCCGCTCTCACTGGGAAATCCCACAGCCGGGCGCCCGCCCCAAGTGCAGACAAAGAGCCGCGGAACGGGCGGCAAAGTCGCCGGCTGGCGCCGAGGCCCGCGGCAGGCGCGGGCTTTGTGCTCCTAGGGCTCGGCGGGCTGCGGCCGGCCGCCCTTCCCCGGCTGCGTGGACGGCGTCAGGGCCCTGGGCTGCGCGGACATCGTGGGCTCTCCGATGAGTCCGGTGCGGGGTCCGAGGCCGCTCAGGGCGCGGAGGTATCCAAGACCACCCCGGGCATCCGGGGAGCGCGGGTCCGACCCCAGAGGCGGCGGGGGCCGGGGCCGGGTGGCCAGAGAAGGAAGCGGACGGGCTCTGGGGCGGCGGCGGCGCGGAGCCGCAGGGGAGCGGGGGTGAGGCCCAAAGCCCGGCGAGGACGCCCCGACACCCCTCTTCCCTCGAAGACGAGCGCCTGCGGTTCCGGCCGCCGCCAGCCCTTCTTCCCAGGGCCGAGGAGCAACTCTGGGCTCAGCGGGTGCAAATCCACCACCCGGGCATCCTAACTCCAAGCGGGCACGGGAGGCCTCGGCCAACGGGGATCTTCGCTGCGCCCGGCTCGAGTGCCGCGTCCCCGGCGAGGGACGCCCGAAGCCACCGCCGCGGCTGCCTCGGAGCGAGCAGGGCTTGGAGACCGCGGGCGGGGAAGAGACGCAGCCGAGACCCGGAGCTCTGTGGCTTCTTCCTTCCTTCTCCTTCCTTCTTCCTTCCCTTCGGCCCGGCACTCTTCTAAACGCGGCCCGACGAGCCCCCAGCACACACACACCAGAGAGGGGGGTGGGGGGGGGAAAGTGGCCTGGACTTGCGGATACCACACACAGACAGGCGCGGGGGACGAGCACGAGGTCCGAACTGCCGCGAGAGCAGTTCCAAATAGGGACTAAAAAGTAACAAAATAATGTGGCAGCTTCTCCTGGAGCTGGCCAATGGGAGCTCGAGGATCCCACGTGGGGCCGCGAGAGACGGCCGGGGATTGGATGCTGCCGGGCGCGACGTCACAATGCCCTCTTGTGTCTAAAACTATGCATGAAAAGTAGCAATCAGGCCCTACCCGCTGGTGACTTTCGCAGGGGAGTGAAAAACAGCGCTCCTCAGATCAGGAATTAACCGAAAGACATATAATAAATAGATATATATTATAGGCCTGGACTGCTAGAGGTTTGTGTTTTTTTTTGTTTCCTCCCCTCTACTTTTTTTCCCACGATCTGCTAGCAAATAATTATTTGGCGGGAGGCAGAAAGAGAAGACAGAGGAATAACAACAAAAGAAAAAGAAGAAAAAAAAAAAAGACAAGCTGTACAATCCTCAAAACCTGTGGCTGGTAGTAATGTATCAGTTTGTTGTGCCGTGCAGGCGAACCGTTCTCCCTCTAATCTCATTAGGTCTGCAAAGCGGCCCAATTAGGTACTATAAAACAAACAGAATCACTTTGTCACTTTGTTTTCACTTCAGAAGATTTAGGACCGATAAAATGGTGGTTCCTCAAAGTTGCCTCCCACCTTGCTTCGAACTGGGGGTGGGGGTCCCTTTCTTCGCCCCTTCCCTGCCCCCCTCTTCCAGCCCCCAGCTCTGCTCCTTTGTTCATTCGCCTTTCTTCACCGAAAGCCAAGTAAACAGCGGCTGCCTGAGAGGGGAAGCTGAGGTCTGGCTGGGCGGGCAGCACAGATGGAGGCCCGGCTGCCCGCCCGCCCAGGCTCCGAACACCGCCGGCCCTCACTCGGGGCTCCTTCCCCGTCGGTGACCGCGACGTCCCGGCCGCAGCCCGGCCGGAAGGGCTCCTGGCTGCGCTCCTGGCCCGAGGGACTGGAGAGCAGAACGGGGTCAGGGCCTAGCCGACCGCGACCCGGGAGCTCAGAGTTCCGACAGGGTTTACTGGGCCGGCCCCAGGCTGCCGCAGCCCCACGCGGGCCGCCCGTCTCCGCGGATGCTTCAGGCCCCCGCGTGCACCCCGTAGGCCCCCTGCGCGGACGCACTGACCCCGGGGCCCGTTTGCCCACAGCGGACAGCGCGGTTCCCGGGCGACCCGGGTCAGATCAGGACACCGACGGCAGGGATCAGGGGTCCCCGGCCCTCCCCGTCCCCTCCCCGGCCCGCGCGCGCCCCTAGGCGGCGGCCAGCGCGCGCACGCGGCCGCGCGCCCGGCGATCTGCATTCTCCCCCCCCCCCACGCCCCCATTAGGAGCCCGAGGTTCGCGTTTGCATCTTAATGAGGAGCCGGAGCTCGGAGGCCCGAGCGCGGGAGGCCCCGCTCCGGCCGCCGACCCTGCTCCCCTTTTTGTTTACTCCCCCCAAATAAAAACATAAATCGTGTGCGGCGCGCACGGTAAAGGGGAAGGTGGGGGGAGGGTTAGGGAAAAGCCCAGCTCGACAGATGCGAGCATCTGGCCTCGGCATTCATTAGACACAAAATGGCTCCTCTCCGGAGCTTCCTTGTCCCCGCCCCCTTCACCGCCCTCCCCTGACGTCACGGGAGGGCGCACCCGCATCCCAGACGCCCCGCCCCCTTCTCCCCTTGGCCCCCCACGTGGGAAACGCGGGCCACGCCCATCAGCAAGCCCACAGGACCAATCACAGGTAAGCAGAAGAGCTACTCGCTACTGATTGGCGAAGGGGCCGGGAGCTGTCAGTCCTGGGCCAGAGCTGTCAGTCAAAACCACGCGGGATGGGGGAGCGCTGACAAATGCCGCGGCTTCAGAGCCTCCCGCTTGCAAATAGTGCTTGGAATGGCTGCTTAATTAGCTTTGAATGGCTTTTCCTTCCAGCTCAAACAATCTGTCACTACCATGTGGTAGAAAGGAGCCGTGCATAAAAAAGTAAGCAGAGGCTAAATATCAATTTGATTTTGTGTATCAAAGGAATATTTTATTTTTCTCCCTAGTAATGAAACGTATCAATTTAAATAATAAAAGGTAAAAACACACACAAACCCGAGCGGGGTGGGGGGGGGATTAAAAGAATGAAAAAGAGAAGAAAAAGAGAAAGATGAAAAACTAAAAAAAAAAAGAAGAAGAAAAAGAGAAGAAGAAAAGAAAGGAAAAGAAAACCCAAACTCCACCGCATCCCGACTCCTTCGCAAGCCTGAAAATAGGTAAATTCTCCGGATCACTTTCTGGAGGGAGTCTGAAGACTTCCCCCCCACCCTCCCCCGGCCCGCTTGAGCCCCGCTTTGGGTGTTTTGTGGTCCTCGTGGGGCCTGGCTGCAGTGCAGGGGAGGAGTGGGGTGAGGACGGGCCCCCGACGGGATCTCTTTGAAGCTGCTAATCAAAGTGCAGGGGGGGGACGGGAAGACCCCTTAAACTGGGGGTCCCACAGCAGGTCTCGATTTGGGAGCCGAGGGGAGAGAGAGCGGGTGTGCGTTTCGTCCAGATTTATTAAACACAATGCCTTCAAGATGCTGGGGACTGGGCGGCCCCGGCCTCCCTCCCTCCTTCCCCTCCCCTTCCCCCCCCCCCTCACCGGCTCCTTGGCTCCTCGGGGATGCCTTGGGTCCTGCCCTCCTTCCCCTCCTCCTTCGATGCCCCGATTGCGGGGCACCGGGGATCCCCACGATCCCGACGACCCCACATCCAGTTCACTCAGCCCTGGAGCTCCGACCCCCCCCCCCGCACCATCCCCACCTCCGGGGCCAGGCTCGGCGCCCTCCCCGCCTGGGGAGGGGGGGCTGGCGGGGTGGGGGGGAGGCCTGGATGGTGGCCCGTGTTATAACCCCGTAGAAAAGGCCGGGCCGGGCGAGCTCTGAGCTTGGGCAGTGAGGTCAGAACCGGAATCCAGAGCAACCGGCTCCGCTGCCAACCTTCACACGCAGCTTTGCGCCCCGCACCGGGCGGGCTGTCTGCGGGGACGTTTGCGAAAGCAGTCCTTCATTCCCAGCCCCGCAAGCCTGCATGCATTCATCCATTCACTCATTCATTCATGCATTTCCCCAGCCCTCCCTCTTGTTGGGGTGGGGGGAATCCCCCTCCCCTATCCGAGGGGCGAAGTGAGGAACCAAGCCAGCACCTCTTTAACTCCAAGCGGGCCTGAGCCAACCCCCACCCCTATGCCAGCCCACAAATTAAGAAAAACAAGGAGGAGGAGAAGAAGAAAAAAAAGTATTTCTTTTATGCTTCCAGAAAGAGGAAAAGAAAAATTTGAAAAACATGGTCCACAACACCCTGTCCAAAGCGCTTGACAATTATTTTAAAAGGAGGAGGGGAGAGAGGAGAGAGGAGAGGAGAGAAAGAGTTCAAACGTCTCTGTCTCCAGTTCTAATTGGAAACGTTTCAACTGTTTATGTTACAAGAAGTGTCAGGGTCATTTGCTACCGGAGAGCTGACTTTTCATTGGCTGCTTAATTGAGTACCTCGGAGTCCACCCCACGTGGGAGAGGAATTCCTGGCACATTAAAAAAAAAAAAGTCACCAGGGTGAGACAGAAAGTATGGACTGGATTTCCAGAATGGAGGTTCCCCCCCAAATCCCTCATTTGGGGGTTCCGGATGATGAGGGAGCAGCTTCTGCCAAGAGCCAACCCTCTGGATTCTTTTTTAAAAAAATAAATAAGTGGCAGGCAGTTTAGGTGAGTGTATGTTTATCTCCCTTTTCTTGAGAATTAAAGGGTCTAGCCTCTGGTCAGCCACCAGGCTGTGGCTAGCTATTTGAGGAACTGACCGATGCAGTGTCTTGGGTGGGGTGTAAACCTTAAACCAACTTCTTCCTTGACTTTGATTCCCCCCACTACCCAAAGCCTCTGGCTGGAACTGCCCAAACCCTGAAGAGGAAAGAAGAAATTTTCGTCGCCAGCCTCACTCCCCACCTCCCTCTGGTTGGTTCTATCAAGGTTTCTCTGATTTGGAGGCTTTTGTTTTCATCCCTGGAATGATTTTGCCCCATCCTCCATCCACTCATCATCCCAGTCCTTCCTTCACCAGTCTTCGTAGCATGGAGCCACCCTCAAGGGGGATTTGTATTTGTTTAACAAACTTTCCTAGTGTTCAGAACACTTGGTGGACACAAATCGAACACGTTTCATCTTTTCCCAAAGAACAAAGTGGGCACCATTAATGTCCTGACCATTTTACCAAAGAGGACTCACATTGATTGGATGACTTGCTCAAGGCCAGGTCAGCTTGAGATGAATTAAACAGAGTCCATTGAGCTGCAGAGTACACACACACACACACACACACACACACACACACACATACTGTCTCAGTGGACCTGGCTTTC